AGGAAAAGGGCGGCGGTGGAAAGAGAGCTGAACCCCAGGAGGGCCCTGCTGGTTGGGGCGCCCCTGACACAGCCCCCCAGGACACCGCAGGGCTCGGACGTGGGCCCTGCTCGTGCAGCCCCTCCTTCCTCAAGAGCCCCCCGTGCCGGTGCCGCTCCCGCTGGACTCCAGCCCTCGCCCTGCCCCGGCCGCCTACCCCAAGCCATGGTCAGCTCGGTGTAGGCCACCAGGTCCCGCACGTATTTGCACATGTAGCGGGTGGCCGCCTCGACCACCTCGTCGCAGCTGGGCTCCAGGGGCTGGGCTCTGCGGCGAGAAGCTCCTCTGCGTCACGGCCCCGGGAGCAAGATGGGGAGAGGAGAGATGGAGTGAGGGCCCCGGCAGCTCCGTCCTGCCAGCCCCGTCCCTGCCGCCTGGGCCACTCGGCGCTCACCCATCTCGGGCTCCTCTTCCTGCTGAGGAGGCACCTCAGCGCTGGGGAGCCCCCCCATCGAGGCTGTCCTCGACCTTGGGGGACGAGTGGGAAGGAGAAGGTGTGAGAGAGGCCGGAGAGCCRCCGKGGAGGGCAGGGATGYGGACGGCGGGTGCTGGAGGGCGCCCTGGCCGCGGGCCCGAGAGCTCSTGTGGGGCTGCCCTCGCTCACCAGCGCCCCGGCGCCGGCCGGGCCGCGGGCGCTGCTGCYGCTCTCCCCCTGCTCCTGCTCCACGGCCRTCTCGCCGATGCTCTGTCACAYGCACAAGATTGGGTTTCCCTCRCATTCAGGTGGAACTTCTTGTGCTGCAGTTCGTGGCTGTTGTCCTGTCACCGGGCACCACTGCAGAATCTGCCCTTGTCCTCTTGACACCTCCCCCATGAGATATTCGTACATGGTGCTAAACCCCCGTCTCAGAGATCTCTCCTCCGAGGCAAGCCAGTGTGGATCACTCAGCCTCCCTCAAAGGGGAGCTGCTGGAGCACGTCCAGGRCCTCGTTCAGCTCTTAACCAGCCCTGCGCTGCACCCCCTGCCAGCTCCATGTTCCTCTTGTGCGAGGGCACCAGAACTGGACTCAGTGCTCCACACGTGGCCTCACCAGGGTCAGGATCACCTCCCTCGACCTGCTGGCAACATTCAACGCACCCCAGGACACCACAGGTCTTCTTGGCCACAGGGGCACGTTCCTGGCTCATGGTCATGGGGTTGGGGTTCCTGTCTCAGCTGGGGCACGGGCTCGTTCCTCTCCAAGGGAGGACCCTGCGCTTCTCCTTTGTTGAACCTCATGAGGTCTCTGCCCAACTGCCCAGCGTGTCTGGATCCCTCTGGACAGCAGCACAGCCCTTTGGGTTTATAGTCACTCAACCCAGGTTGGTGCCGTCAAGAGCCTCGCTGAGGTCCAGCAGGGCCGGGCGAGCGACCGGCCCCGGCGCTCGGCCCTGGGGAGGCCGCCCCTCCAACACTGAGCTCAGCTTTGGGCCCCTCGCTACAGGCAGGACATGGAGGWGCTGGAGTGGCTCCCATGGAACTGGGGAAGGGGCTGCGGCCCAGAGCTTAYGAGCGGCCGCAGTTGTTAGCGTGGAGAAGAGGAGGCTCCGTGGAGACYTCATCGCTCCTACAACTACCCGGAAGGAGGTTGTAGGGAGACGGGGTCAGGCTCTTCTCCAGGATAAATGCTGATAGGACAAGACGAAATGGCCTCAGGTTGCGCTGGTGGAGGTTCCCGTTGGATATGAGGAAAAATGTCTACAGGAAAGAGCACTTAAGCGTTGGAACAGGCTGCCCGGGTAGTGGTGGGGTCACCGTCCTCGGCAGTGCTCAAGGAAYGCGTAAATGTGACACTCAGGAACATGGGTTAGCAGGTTATGGTGTTGAAGGGCTTATGATGATCTGAATCTTGATGAYTGATGATCTGAAAGGTCTTTTCCAACCACAATGATTCCATGATTCTAAAATTAAAACAGAAAAAAAAAAATCCCATTCATTTTAAACCTCAGCATGATTCAGACTTGTGATCTGGAAGCAACAGGATAACTGGCGAGTCAGTGTAAACCGCTCTGCTGTCCCGCAACGCGGAACGGGACCGAGGCGGCCCCCGCCGCGGCGGCGGGAGGAGCGAGCGACCGGGGGAACGGCGCGTTGCCATGGCGCCCAGCCGCCCCCCCCCCCGCCGTGAGCGCGCATGCGCCGCGCAGAGGCGGCGGGCGCGCAGGCGCAGAGGCGGCGGCGCTGGCGCTGGCGGGCGGTGTCGCGCCCGCCGCCCCGGCCCGGCCATGTCGTACGGGCCGCTGGAGCTGCCGCTGCCCCGCGCGCCGCGGGACTTCGCCGCCATCATCCAGACATGCAGCGCCAACGTGCAGCGCATCACGCAGTACAGTGAGTGCGGCGCGGCCTCCCGGCGCTACCGGGGCGGGAGCAGCTGCCTTCCCCCGCGCTGCTCGGGCTGCTCCGCGCTCTGTGAGCGGCCCCGGCGAGGCCTAGCCGGGAAGCAGAGCCTGGCGCCCTCGGCGCTCCCTCCTCCCTTCCCGGGAAGCAAGCGGCAGGCGAGGCGGGCGCTGCCGCCCTCGCGGCCTCCCCTCGGGAAGCTCCGTCCCTCCCCGTGGGCAGGGCAGGCAAAGSCGGGTTTATCCCCCTTGGTTTTGCTGCTGAGAAGCCTAGGAAAGGGAAGGGGCTGCAGCGTCTCTGCTGGCTGGGACAGAAGTTCAATGTGATGTCCGCCCTGAAGCATCACTATGGGTATTTGCTCCTTAGGATCTGTTCCGGACACAGTAGGTTCATCTCAGTATTGCAGCRAGTCTTTGCTAGTTTTTATTGCAACAAGTCTTTGCTTCCTTTGCTAAGGAGGAGGGATATGGAAGTTATAGCCACAGAGGCTTGTTTTCAGGACGTGAATGTCTCAAAACCCCTCTCTCTTTCTCACTTGAAACCCTTCACTCCAGTAAGCGCTAGCAGGGCTAAATGGGGTGGTTCTAAAATGCCGCTTTGCTCCAAATTCAAAGCATAAAGTGTGGTGAGGCAGGCCAGAGAGGAGCAGAATGATTTGGAGAAATCCTTCCTCATGGGGAGCTACGAGAAGTCCCTGTCCTGCTSTCTTACCCTATGATCTCTTTATCTTCAGCCGCTCAGATAAAGAACTTGATGAGCCAGCTGGGAACCAAGCAGGATTCCAGCGAGCTGCAGGAAAATCTGTAAGTATGAGCTGAGCCAACACCTTTCTTGGSGTGTCTTTTATCTCCCAGGCTGTTCCGAGAGAAAATGCATCGCTCATTTTGAGGAGATGCTTTACTGGAGAAGTTTAATACAGGCCTGCAAAGCTGAATGAGTAGATGAGTGAAGTAGTTTTCTGGAGGTGTTAAGGTGTTTTTGCAGACCTTTGGAAAAGCCATTAAAATCCGCTTGACAGGAATGATTGGAAACAGTGCAGATTACAAAAATAAAAGAAAGAAGGGGAGTGCATCGTGCATATGTTATCTGTATTCTGAAGACTAGTCTTATTTAGTAGCTTTACRTGTGGTTTGGAGAATGAGGGAATGAGTGCCCTACTGGACACTTGGCCTTGTGTCTCACAGGACGCTTGGCCTTGACGTAGGAGGAAAAGGGAAAACAGCAGGGAAGGCCCCTATCTGATCGAAAAAGGTACTTGTTTAATACTTGTTTAATTACTTGTTTAATACAGAAGGATTTGGGTGTTAGAATAGCAATTTTGTATGGCAGCCAAGTTGCCAAGCGTGACCTCGGGCAAGAGCGTGCCCCTGGGATGTGATATAGAAGCTACTTAAACTGCAGAGTCCGAATGCAGGCCAAATGGGCAGCCTGCCTGTGTATCTTATAAGTACTTGTACGGCATAAATAGAAACATATAAAGAGAATAATTTCAGGAAAACTAAAAGGAAACTTGTAAGTCTGTCATTCATTGTCCTGGTGTTTTGTATAATGGCTCATTTGGAATGGCTCATAACTTACATTTGGAGGATGTGATCGACACTTAAGCGGGAGGGAAAGGAGTGGGTTTGTTGGAGCTATTCAGTTACTTGAGCTGGGKTTAACTGGTAGATTAAAGAAGAGGTTACTGACAGCTAAATGGATGTCTTTCCAGTTAATTTCGTTATAGAGACATGGTCACCTTCTTTAAGGGAAAAGTGGTGGCACTCAAGTTGCTGTAGAAATTGATAATAGGGGGTGTAAGGTGGTGTGGTATAGGCGGTGTATTCAGCTCGCATACTACAGATGGACTCCTGTCGTGGGATATCCAGAATATTCGGATTTGCACATCTACTAGACTGAATTGCTTTCAAGTACTTTGCACCCATTAAATACCCAAATCTTAGTTCTTGCATTAGTATTTTGTCCCTTAGTTTTTGTACTTAGTTTTTCCATTTTGTTAAATCTAAAGCTGACAATGCAGTCAGAAGCTGTCAAGTGAGCATGTTCACTGAATAAAGTTGGCTTTGCYTTAGTTTCTGTCTTGTGCTATAGAAATCTTTTAATCACCAAATACCAATTGACGGGGAGTACAGAAATACTTTAGATCTCCTTTTAAGATCAAACCCTGTCAAACTGATGATAAAAACTAAAGAACTGTGGCATAAAACTGTCTTGTGTGCTATTATTTTTTCCTTTTCTGGACATTGGAGGGGGAAAAACAAAAATCCTAAAAGGTGAATGTGATGTTGGTACCCCTCATTGTTGTGAAAACTGAGTTTCTTGGAGGCTGCTTTGGGCGAGCCTTGGGTAACCCTCTCTGAACGTTTATTGTAGACAACAGCTACAGCATTCTGCCAACCAGCTGGCTAAAGGGACCAATGAATACCTAAAGGAGCTGGGATCTCTGCCGCTTCCTCTATCAGCTTCTGAGCAGGTCTGTATGCAGAACCCCTCTGCGAGCGTTTGAGGTTTCCTTTAACTCATTTCATGGATCTAGCTCAGAGCTCAGCATCATAAAGTGTGAATTGGCACAGCTGGAGGGACAGGAGCCTTTCACGATGGAGAATAAGCTGTTGCAGAAGTGGAAAGACTCATTCAAACGATAACCTGGCTGCTTCTGTCGCTTTGGGAAAGCAGCTTAACCTCTGCCCATAGCAAAGGGGATATAAAATTTACTTGCCTAAGAATCGGAAGCCCTAAATGTTTGAGAAGAGCTAAGTAGGCAATTCTGTGTTTCTGAGTCCACTTCTGAAAAATAATCTTGTTCATACAGAGTCTGATCATGTAAGGCAGTGTGTCAGGGTAAGAACATAGAGCAAGCTCCATGTTAGTATCGGGTGTGGTCGTGCCAAGTAGCTTCTGTTTGCCTCGGATTTATTAGCTGGAGGAGGGAAAAAAAGTCGATTCTTCTTGCTCGTATTGGAATAAATGTAATTAGGCCATGATTATGGCTTTACCTCTTGCTGAGTAGCCTTCCACATCACCTTCCAGGTGATGCACAAGGCACTGAGCGCTTGGGATAAATAGTGGAAATTTGGTGGGTTTATTCCCTCCAATCCCCCAGAATGCCGAAATCAGGAGATCTTATGGATGTGAGATGGATTTTGGGGAGTTAYTTGGAGGATTTGTGATTGTTTTTGAGGGAGGGTCTGAACAGTTCTRTTAGCACAAATGGGAATATCTGAAGGCTTGTTTTTGTTTTAATCCGTTAGCGCCAGCAGAGGCTTCAGAAGGAACGTTTAATGAGCGACTTCTCTGCGGCCTTAAATAACTTCCAAGCAGTACAGAGGCGAGTTTCAGAGAAGGAGAAAGAGACGGTGGCGAGGGCGAGAGCTGCCTCCCGTATCTCTGTGAGTATTTATGGGAATTCCGTAGCCATGGGAGTTACGAGTCTCCTCAGATCTTGTACTCCCCTACCAATTTTGCAGCTTTCTACTGAACCGTTACTGGATGCAGAGGGGGGCTGGGTGCATTAATGTTAACGTTGCCCATTCTGTGAGTACTGGGCACTCATTTCTGGGTGCTGCAAGTTTGGGTTACAGGTGAGAGAGTCCTGGTAGTCGCAGATTGTGGGCGAAGGGAGAGGGGACATCAAACTACAGCTAATGGTTAAACATTGTGAGCTGTTCTTGGACAGATGTCCAAGAACATGGGCTGTAAAATTTAGGAGCCAGGTGGAGTTCTACCATACTTAGAACTAAAGCTGAAGTCTCTCTCTCTTTTTTTTTTTTTTTTTTTTNTAAAGCTGAAGTCTCTCTTTTTTTTTTTTTTTTTTTTTTTTGTAATATTATTTTCTTACAGTTCCTGTCCTGCTAGTGTCCCTAGTGTACATGCAGAGTTTCTTCCTAGTCTGTTGTGACCAGTGGCTACCAACAATTCATAGTAAAAAGCCAGTGACAACATTTCTCTCCCTGTGCTTTGGGTTTTGCCTTAAATACGTATCCTTAACTTCCACGAAGGAATGCAGTTCTCACTTAGATTATGCTTCTAGGGATTATGCTTCATTTAAGAAGTCAACTTTTCTCTTGCAGTTGGAGAAAGGAAGTGACAATCAATGTCAACTGAGTAAACAGCCCAGCTCTTCTAGCTTGCAATTGCTTCTGATTTGCAGGATGTGTAAATGAAGAACTGAAGTGACGGTGACGTTCTCAAAGAACTCTGCGCAGCATCCTCCTTCGTCTTCAGGATGCTGTTGCCTTTGCCAGTTCTGCTGGCAGTCTGCGAGTTTAACAACAATTTKTTTTCCTCTTCCAGGCTGATGAGCGCTTCAGAGAAGAGCAGCTGGTCTCGTTTGACAGGTAACATGGACTTGCACTCTCAAGGGGCACATAATCTCTCTTACTAGGTATAACTAAAATCATTGCGGCAACATATGTTGGTGTRACCCAGGCCATGCTTCATTAGCTCAATGCAAAGCCAAAAGCTTTGAAACGGAATTATTACGGTAGTCGTAATATACAATGCAAAATAACTGCRTACAACATTATTTTCCTGGGTGTTTTTAGCGTTTTCTAGTAAGGTTTCTCCTGTAGTGCTACAGGAACGATTCTGTCTTRGAGCATCTTATGCATGAGCTGTTTTTCAGCTTCCTTACTGAGTCGTTAGAATACGTTTRTGCACAAGGCCTGGCTTTTCTGATGTGTCCTTGTTTTTCATTTGTTGTGATTGCAACTGTTGCCACTAATTAGTCTAATCTTCGTATAAAGTTGCAATACCAGATGGTATAAAATTGGTGTGAATAGATCTACCCTCAGAGAAATGGACTGTTTTTTTTTTTCTTTCTCTTTCTAGTGGTGAAGACTGGAATCAAATGCAGTCTCAGGAAGATGATGTGGCAATAACTGAACAGGACCTTGAACTTATTAAAGAGAGAGAAACAGCAATCAGGCAATTAGAGGTGAACAGGAGACACTGTTAACGCTGCTAGCAGCTAAGCTAAAGATGTTGCACGGTGATGACTAATGAGAGGGTCTGAGGAAATCTGAGGAGGGGCGAGAAGCTTCTTGTATAGAGGCTTGATGGCCAGATCTGCCTCCCTACTCCTTTGGAGGAAGACTGGGTGCGTTTTCATTCAGGGTTGTTTGGTGATCCATCAGAGGGTCACAATCCATCAGGATTGCTTGGGTAGGAGCAATTCCCGGGAAAATGTTCATTTCACTTCCATTCTGTGCTGATGACTCCTGTGCAGAAACACCAAGCAGCAGGAAGAGCATAGGCTCCTGTGCTGAACCTCAGCTCCGTACCCGGAGGCAAGAGTCACCTCGGTGGAGGAATAACGCTAGCTGTTAGGCTGTAAGAGAGACTAAAGATGAGATTGAGCAAACCTGTGAGCAGTGGTTATTGAACTTGTCAAACTCTTGTCTTCAGGCAGACATTCTGGATGTCAATCAGATATTTAAGGATTTAGCCATGATGATTCATGACCAAGGAGATATGATTGGTAAGTGCATGTTGATAATAAAAGTTTGTTTAGCTCAATTGTGTATTCTGATGGATTTTTCAAATGTTTGGTATAAAAATGCTTATATATCTCATATCTGTTTTTTTTTTTTTTTTTAACATGGATGCTTAGAAATCTCTTAGCACGAGTTCTCTTATTTTTCTGTAGATAGCATAGAGGCAAACGTGGAAAGTGCGGAAGTCCATGTGGAACGAGCCAGTGAGCAGTTGCAGAGAGCTGCATATTATCAGGTAAATTCTCTATACGTGAATGTCAACGTACATTTATGCAATATGGTACAGACATAACACTTAGTGAGAACTGCAGCACACCAAACAAGTTCTTAAAAACGGTTTGTACAATTTGACACTCACCCAAGCTGTGCTGTAAGGAATAAAAGCACTCAAGTGCAACACAGAATTGAAATTGGGCTTCTAATGCAGAGGATGTGCTGTTAGTTTGCTCCTTCATGTGGGTGTGCTCCAAGTTTGTGTTGAGCTTTGTCAGGAGGTAGCAGAACAGTTAAACAGGAACAATTTCTCATGTTGTACTCATTTTGTAAGCGTAGCAGCTAAGAAGATAACGAACTTCGGGTAAACAGACACACAAAAGCTCTCTTTTTGTAGCCAATTTGGGTGAAATTTGTATTTCCCTTGAGAGAAGCAAAATTTCTCACATTTTTACTGAAGTGCATCTCTACTACTGTGCCAAAATGGAAAACAACCATCTGTACGACCACGTAGCTTAAAGAATGTTCAGGCAGTATAGTCGGTGCTCTTTCACRTCTCCTAAATAAGGAAGGGTTCTAAGTGCACTCATCAACTGAAGTTGGTAACATTAGCTGGTAAACTTACTTAYCTGTTTGTCATCTGTTCCTCGTGTCAATGCCTTTTTTTTTTCTTCTTCTTTCAATAGAAGAAATCCCGTAAGAAGATCTGTATCCTGATTCTTGGCCTTGCTGTGGCTTCTCTAATCTTAGGACTCATTATCTGGCAGGCAACAAAATGAAGTTTTCCCGTGGAACTTGGTCTCCTTGCAGAGAGCAGTTCTCATCCCCCCCGAGCGAACAAGCTCACTAGTCTCAGAAATGAATTGACCACCCCAAGAGAGCAGAAGCTGGAACTTCTTCTAGTAATAGATATTAGCAACTAATGTGCAGATAACTAGTATATGGAATTCGTGAACCATGGAGCCAGTATTTATCAGTTTATATACAAATTATATTGCTTTATGTAACTAAGATCTTATGTATTTTTTTTTTGTTCTTTCTGTAATGTATTATTCCCTGTTGCAAATGTATACTTATGTGTGATCAATAATTGGATTTTTTTTTTTGTTGACAAGTGGCACAGTTTGAACATCTTGTAAGTATGGATGGGTCTTGCACTAAGAATGACACTCCAAGAGGGCACAATACAGATGCGCGTGACCTTAATCCGGTGTTTCTAACATTTCCCGTGTCTGCCCCATGCTTTAATTCGTCTCCAGGTGGTTCTGAACTCTCCAGTACAGCAGAATACCACTACATATTTGAAAGGCAAGAGGTAGGCATTAATTACCACTGCTGACACCACGAGGGTGCTCAGACACAGGTCAGTTTAGCCATGAGACTGGTAACTGTTTTATTCGTGTTTGAGCGCATTTGGTGGGTTGTGGTGTTTTTTGGGGGGATATTTTGTTTTGTTTCTGTTTTTCTTCCAGTGAAATGTTTGTGAGGACAAAGCACCTTTGGTTTAGGATATAATGCAGCTTCCCTGGGAAACCCAGCTGGTGGCTTATTACTGGGCAAATAAAACTCTTCCGATGCTGATTCTTAAACACTAGAAATACTAAGGTGCATCAAATCTGTATCGGGTGCAGGGGTGAAAAAAGTAGCTGCTCACTTCTGATTGCTTCCTAGAAGCTTTTAGGGGAAGGATTGTGCAAAGGTGGGAAAAGGGGCACCCAAATTTACAAGGTAGCAGAATCACATGAGTGTAACCTGGAATGCTGCTCCCAAAGAAGCACTCTGGGAAGCTCCCCCGTGTTGCTTGTGAGCACCTGGTGTCTCCTGCCGTTTGTGCACGGGAAGKTGCGGGACGTGGCTGAGGGAAGTGCTGGGTTTGCCAGGGTCTGAGGCCGGGGTTGGGAATGGAGGGACCCCTGCTCCCGATGAGGGCCTGGCTCAGGGAGCCGCACAGGGCACCGAGGGAGCGGAGACCTGGCCAGAGCCCATCGCCGCCTGCTAGACGCACTGACCCTCTTTTTATTTATTTATTCTTTATTCCCTGTCTCCTGTGTAATGAATTAAATGTGAAAGCTGCAGAGGGAGCCCGTTCTCCCCCTTGCACAGTGGTTTGCACTATCGCGCCGTCATCCACCCAATAACTGTCAATAAACACCCTGACCAGCCGCTGCCCTTGTCTCTGTGTCCCGGGTTCCGTGCTCGCGGGGTCGGGGCTGGTTCCTGCCTGTTCCGCGGRGCAGCACTGACTGTTCCTCCCTTCCTTGCCCTTACTTTTAAGGGGCCGCCTAGGCTTGCAGGGTGGGGACTGAGCACACGTGGTGGGAACTGGCTCTCCTCAGAGTTTGTGGGGTTTTTTAAGCTGCAATTTATTCAGAAAGCTGAGGAGCTTTCATTATTTTTTTTCCTTTATTCTTTTTTTCCTTTATTCTTTTTTTC